TCTTCCTTCTCTTTCTTCCTATCGGCGTCCATCCTCACCAGCATTTCCATCATCTGCTGCATCTCCATCTTGTCGCAGTAGAGTACACGATGCACAATAATTCAATTATTTGTCAGGCGTGTTTAAGTTCGTAAAAATTCTGACACCAAATTATCACGTGTTTTGAGTACGAATCTCGTTGATCACGTGTGTAAGTCCTAATCCCACTTCTGACACCAGTGTAACGTGTTTACGTTACAGAAGACGCCGTAGAGATGGTTAATTGGTTTATTTAACAATCTACAACTAACGGCTATAATTAATGATCACGATATTACGCGTTTCCACCGTTTACGAACCCTACAACACAATCTCTTAACACTGTCTTCACTTGTCTTCACGTACTGATTACGCGGGAGCTATACAAGTCTCCCTGAAATACACACTCCGAGTATAACTGTACTACAGCACTCACTAAGTATCGAAAGCACACAATAAGTCTTCCGCTCGCTGACTTCTTAGTTATCGCACACTCGCAGGCTGCTATGTTTCAACTGCTGATCACACTGCTGTGGGTCCGCTTATATAGCCTTGCGCTGTTGCTAGTGTGACGTGGCGGATAGCATAGGACGCTGTTGCTAGCGTGACGTCACCGCTGTTGATTAGCATTGCGTAGTTGCCAGGTTACGGGGCTCGGCTAGCTTCGGCTCCGCTCGGCTCTCTTCGGCTCCGCTCGTGACGTCACCGCGCGTTGCGCATTGCGGGGTGATTACTCGCCTATTACGGGAGCGTTACGTTACCGCTGAGGGGTGGGAGGGGAGCGCTGACTCACCCGCCGCGTCACTGCTGGTGTGGGGGGGGCTCGGCTTTCCGCACATGTCACAATATTTTAGCCTATTTTCCATATTTTGAAAAAATGAAAGTAGGCTTATTTTATCTCCATGCTGCCTATGTATCCCCCTATCAACTTCTTGAATGAATGAACCAGTCTTCATGAAACTTTGTATGTATATCATGGGATCTGAGCAAATCTCAACAGCCTACTTCATAAATCCCTCTCATTAGTATGTGTCTACATGTGTTTCTCCCCATTGTTGCTAGGCAATGGCTCGGAAAAGTCTACCTATCATTGCTAGGTGACAGCTCAGTAAAAATATTACCACAGCAAAACATACATATGCAAAATTAGAAGTATTGTTGGATGCATCAATTTTGTATGCATTTTTTGTTGTATCAAGGAAAGTATGTACTTAATTCTTACAAGAACTTCTTGTTCTTTTTGATGGATAGGCTACTGACCCTAAGAAAACAGACCTTTTTCAGTCTTGCCATCATGAACCGCTTATGAGAGCACCTGAGGGACAATGGCTGCTGATTCTCAGCAGCAAAGGGATCAACTTCTGGGTCCTCTGCTATTATCACTAACCCAGTAACTGTTTATTAGCTGAGAAGTAAGTTTTCCATCCATTCAGAATATTGTAGGAATCTTCAAGTACATATATCGTCATTCTAATTTTTACCAGTTAGGTTGGTAGGTTGCTTAGGTACTCCAGTACAGGTACAATAGGACATATGGAAGCCGATTTGCCAAGGGGACCTAATATGGATTCACCTCACACCATATGAAATCTTAACTAGGGTAATCTATTGTAAACAATTTTAAGTATTGTGGCTTTATTCTCTTATTGTAATCAGCCAATGTATAGTATCTGACTTGTCCTATATCATGTAACAATGATCTATAGAGACAAAATAAATACGTAAATAAATAAATATATATTGCTTATGATTGTAACAAATGTTGGTAGTATGCTTGTAACTTTGTAGATTTGTTTTGTTAACTTGTATTGCCAAATGACTTGTCCAAGTGTTACTATGTAGCAAAACGGATGAAAATAAAATACAATACAAATACAATACAAATACAATAGCCGAGGCAGAATTCATGGAGATTTACCTCCACGCTCCCATAATAATTTCTTGTTGTTTCAAGTACTACTGCACACATGGTCTGTAGAAGTTGCTAGATAGATTCTTCTCAATTATACAGCATATTTCCTGTAACTAAAATTTGACATTATGCATTTCAGGAGACTCAAATAATCAGTCAGCGTCACAACAACCTCAACGAATACTATGAGAGCTTGCGCAACAATGTTATCACCTTACTGGAGCATGTGCGATTACCTAATGGCAGTGGTGGTGGTCAAGAGAAGTTGGGCCATGACAACTTTGATAGTTACTTGAGCAAGCTTCAGACTCTGTGCACACCTGATGGCTACTGCAGTGATGAGAGCAACCGACCCCTTTATGAGACAGTGAAATCAGCATTGCAGGACTTTACTGTCCTCCCTACACCCATTTAGTCACCCAACTACACTTACTGTGTCCTTCTTTTAACCCAGGTGTAATTTGGAAATCGGTTTAGACTGTTTTCAGCTAATCGAATTAACAAACACTGAATATCATCTACAGAAGAAAATATATCGACTCCCAGATGTATGATTGGCCCAAGCTATTATAAATACATATTTTTAAGCAGCAGTATTTGAATAAAATTGTAGTACTTGCCATTTACTTACACAATACAAAATACTGAATGATAAAATGTGTATGTCTGATGATAGTCACACTTGGTTTACAAGATTAATTAACAGTATTAGTGAAAATGATATCAATGGAGGTCATCACATCAGGACAACAGTGAATACTTGTAGCATTCAATGGTGAAGGCAATGACCCTTTATTTTGTTGCAACTGTGTGTTCGGAATGCAAGGCATTAAATCTTTGGAAAATCCATCCTGTAAGATATTATCCATGTCTTGTATCAATAGTTATTGGAAGTACATTTCTGTGAGACTGTTTTCTTATTAAAAATTATTCAAAAGATCGCAAGTTCAGTTCATCGAGAATCAGAAGAATGTTGATAGGTTCCAGCAGATGCACTGTGTTAAAATTGTTGATAGATTATCTGCCTTCCTTCTGCAATTGAAATGAACCTCACATGAGTATCCACTCTGATAAATGTACGTTGGTGAGAGCTGCAATTTGTGAAGTCACATGTATGGAGACAATGACTGCATCTGTTCAATCTATTTATATGTGAATTTATGAGCAAGAATGATAAGCTTTTCAGACAGGAACAGTCATATTACTTTTGCATACTCTGTGCTGTCAGATTTGTAGTGAAATTGAGTAAGGCACAAATCAGACTTCATTAATGAAGTGCACAACAGTTGAATCTCCTGAAAGTGTCGGACAAGCATCGTATTTCATGTATAAGCATTTTGATTTCATAATGACTAGTTCAAGACTGTGAAGTGTTTGAAATTAAGTCATTATGACCTATTTCTTCAGATGTGGTGTGATATCAATAAAACTCAAATTGACACTTCAAAAGGTCATTGTACCAAGAAGAAATAGAACTTTCTAAATGTGAGGGCCCAAGCTAAATATAAAGGTGCATGTAACATAGTCAAGCAATGAGTGACGTGAACTTTAAAATCTCATTGAGGTGACTGAAATATGCAGATATCCAGACTAATCCTCTTTTATTTTTCTGCACTTAACTTGTAAAAAAAAGAGGCAGAAGTATTTTTCATATTGCTGACTCAGTACAGCTGTCAGCAGCTAACCAAGGAGTAGTTTAATGTGGTTAGTTAATGGAGTTCCTCGAGTTTATTTTTTTTTTCTTTTGTCTGGTTTGTGACTATTAAGTTGAATATATCAGTGTTGAAATCAGTGATGTTTATTGCTCATTTGTACACAGTTGTTGTTTTCCAAACCTAACTGTGCATTTTAATTTATGTAGTGATAGTGATAAGATGTTTCACAACGTTTTGTTTACAGATGTTTCCTATACATAATTAGTATTAATATGTTTGTTTGTTGTTAATGATGACATTGTTATGTTTATGATAATATGGTGCCAGCAAACTTATTAAGTTGGATGATTCTCTTTGAGTGTTCTTTCTAATTTATTCAAATTGAACAGTTTTATAAATGTGAAACTTTTACATATGTTATATATAAAAATTCTTTGGTTCCTTTGTGTAGTAGTGTGCTTTAATCACTGTTCAGTCTAATGCAATTAATGAACAAGAATCTGTCAAGATAAACAAATGAATAATTCCTCAGCAGCACTTCTAAAAATAGATATTCAGTGCTATATTCATAGGTGGTTAGCTGAGATCATAAGATGATTGATATTAAGGAAGGACAGATTTGGCAAGTATGTTGCTTGATGCATGATGCCTGAACAAACTGGAGCAACATGTGAGACCATCTTTGTTGTGTGCTATAGAGTTTCTGCTCCATAATTCAGAGATTTTGTTTTCATGTCTTAGATATATGCACCCACTATATTGTGACGATCTTCTCTTTCAGTTCCTGTTGTTATTAAATGTGCAGAAGCAGAGTGAAGTTTGGGAGAACTTGCTTGTTGTATATAAAGAAATAATATTGTAAAAATTTATTTTATAGCAAATCTGCAATATTTTTCACTGAAGTAATATAACTTTTTCCACTGAATCACGTTGCAAACGCAGACAGCTATCAAATAGCACTAGACACATATCCTAAGTAAATTAATATTTCAGGTGTGTTTGGAAACAGTTTGTTTAGATGACTTGAAAACAAAATCCCTATGCAATGTGAAGTGTACTTGAACTTGGGAAGCTCCTTACAGAGTCTCATTAGTCTAGAAGTAATGTTTTGTTTCTGAATACTAACTATGGTTAAGACATGATAGTATAGTATACAACAAATTAATTTATTTGTTAAATACTGGTAAAGAGAAATAATCAGTGTAAAGTATGAATGTTGCTCCTGAAGCTTATTGTTGCCAGACAGACCTGTGTAAAGTATACATCATTGTTAGGTGAAGAACAATCAAAAGGCACTCACCACCTGTTACAAGCTCAAGACTCATTATAGTAGAAAAGAAATATATACAACTGTAGATAGAATTTTAACTAGTCACACCTTGAACAAGTTCATAACTGCAAATAAACAGAAGCTGTATGTTAAAAATTTCTGTTAACTTGCCAACACAATCATTGTGTCTAAGTGTGACATGCAGCTAGCTATGAAAACCAAAACAAACAACCCCCCAAAAAAATGGAAAGAAAAGTAAAATCTAACAAAAACAAAGTTGTAGATGAGTACTCTGTGTATCACCTTGAAGCCATGTTGGTGTATATTTTATGGTCATTTTATTTTGTATTTTTGTAACCAAGTGCTGTGACAAAATGTTGAATATTGCTTTGTAGCCTCAACGAAAACCAAAGCCAAGGAGAAACAGTAAGTGAGAACCCAGTGGGGAACATAGTGGACAGGCTCCAGCAGCATTAGGATCATGACCACACTGGTTTTTGCATGGATGCTAGGATCTCAGTGACAGCAAGATGAACGAGTAAGCCACTAGGACATTTCAAGGTATTTATCCATGATGTGATATATGATAGAAGAATTGACTAGAGAAAATATTTTCCCTTGGTTTTAATGAGTTTGATCAATGTAGCAGGTATATAGTTTTGTTTTTTAACACAATTTTACTGTAATCATTCCAGTAGAATATATTCTCTGAATTTTCAAATATCTTTAAATGCCCAAGTGGCCCAGTAACAGATTAGATTGTTTCCATATGTAATATAGTAAAATACAGTAACATATAGGGATATAACGATGTATAATATGTATGTGTCATGGTGTTTCAAACTCATGTGGGTAAAAGTTTATCACAAAACGTTTATGTTGAAAAGATCTCTGTGTGCCACACTATGATTAAAACATTTGGGAAGTGTATGGCTGTTGTTTCACATTGAAGCATGCTATCATACATTGATACATACTGAAAATAGAAATACAATAGAAGATCTTCCAGAATTTGGTTCTCCTTGCTCCTATTTTCAAAATGGATTGATCTCCCTTACTTACTTACTTACTTACTTACTTACTTACGTACCCATGGAACTGACCCATTCTGGAAGAGCTGCCAATTCTGCAGCTATTTCCCAACAATTTATGGAACCCGAAGGTTCATTACCACGTTCACAAGAGCCTTCCACTGGTCCCTATCCTGAGCTAGATCAATCAATCCATACCATCCCAGTCTATCTCTCCAAGATCCGTTTTAATATTGTCCACCCACCTACGCCTTGGTCTTCCCAGTGGTCTGTCTCCTTCTGGCTATCCCACGAATATCCTATGTGTGTTCCTTGTCTCGGCCATTCGTGCTACATGCCCTGCTCACCTCATCCTCCTTGATTTGATCATTCTAATTATACTTGGAGAGGAGTACAAGTTAGATTGATCTCCCTTAATCTCCAAAATTGAAAAATTATTGCATATTACACTAAACACAACGAGAAAACTTTAAAATTCCATTTGCAGTTTATGGAAGTAAAATTAGATTGAGATATCTAACAGCTACAGCACTGAAATTAAGCCACTGCAGTGTTTGCATGTGCCCAGGAATTATTTGTATTTGAGAACTTTTCTGGAGACTACAGAGCCTGATGGTCTTGAACTTCTTTCTGATCTATGCACCTTCCATACCAGAAAATATTTAATCCCATTCTCATCCAACTAATATTGTGTCCAAATTCAAAGTATTAGTGTTCTACACAAACACAAGGAAGAATTTATCGACATTTGACTACCTTTTTTTAGATTTAAATTCTTTTTCAGTTTAAAAAATCTCAGGATTTTCAGTATGTTCAACCTATACAATGCCTGTTTTTACATCCTCATATATATGCAGTGTAGATAGAAAAGTACTGTGAGTGTGAAAAAATTTAATCTGGAGATTTTGACATTAATACGTTATTCAATCCCCCCCTCCTGAATATGAATATTGTTTTTGGAGTGCCATCGGTCTGTACAAGTATGTCCGTACATTTGTGTGCTGTGCAAGTACATGGATACTTGCATGGATTCTATTCATATTTCATGTTATCCATTCTGTATCAATGCCTGGTGAATCTGAGCATACCAGCTTCAAAAACAGGGGCTCTTCAAGAAGGCCTGAGGACATGATATAGGAATTTTGTAAAAAATGATTGTGATTATGTGTCAGTAATTTATGGAGACAGTATCCCTGAATAAAATCGCATAGATGGTACCTTTAGAAAATTAACGTTACTTGCAGTAAGGGCCCAAATGAGAAATATTAATATTCTCAAAATTGGTTTTATGGGTGAGACAGATTTCATTACGGCTCAGTATGCAGCAACCAGTAATGGTCTACTGAGCAGTAATCAATTTTGTTTCCAAGGTAACATAATCAAGGTCAATCATATCAATGAGGAAGTATTTTCCTAATGATTTCTTACTATATTGAAAATTTGCAGGGCATGTGATTCTGTTGATTAAATTAAATCAATCACCTAGGTAAGAGATTATTTAACATAGTCAGCGTATTATATTTCAGCATCCTGTTGCATTGTGCAACATTTTAAATTGTAAAGTATTCCATCTATAATGCAGCAAAGTCAATCCTTTTTAAAAGACACTAAAATATATTTAATTCACTAAAAAGTGTTTGCTAAATATTCTAAAATGTCATTAACTATGTATATTCGATGCCATTGCTGCATGTTTCAGCCACACATGGGCACATCATCAGGCAACACTAATTATTTGGGGACACAACTGCACTGCACACTTTGCCCTTAGTACCCCTAGGCACATTTGTTGTTGTTGGTGGTGGTGGTGGTGGTGGGTGTGGCGGCGACATCGATAACGACAATGATTTGCTTTGTAGGATATTTTCATCCTATTTTCATTTCAGTGTTCCCTTTAGTTGTATGTATTTAGGTACAGTGTTCCTTTTTAGTTTGTCATTCAATTTAGTTGTGTGTGTTTAGTGCTGTTCCTTGGCAAGGAATAAACAGCACTAAACACACACAACTAAAGTGAAGGACACACTAAAAAGGAACACTGAAACTGCCACTAAATAAGTAGGATGAAAATATCCTAGAAAGCAAATTAATAACAGAAACAATGTGCCTAAAGGTACTAAGGACAAAGTGTACAAAGTGAAATTGTGTGCACTAAAAGAATGACACTGCATACATATCATGGACGAAAGTGTACAGTGTAGTGGTCTCCACAAATATTAAGTATTGCCTGATGATGGCCTATGTGTGGCTGAAAAATGTAGCAATGACATTGAATGTACATAGTTAATGATATTTAGAATATTTAAAGAACAGTTTTAGTGAATTAAATATATTTTAGTGTCTTTAAAAAAAAAAGACTCACATCCTATACATATTCCAAGTTTGTTCTGATCATCCCATGCCACCTCATATCACTCTTAATGACATGTGTTAAAATACCATTATTACATGTTAAGAAGTGACCTGCCCTTGGTTAGAACAAAATTAAAGTTGCTAGGATGTAATATAGTTGTCTTTAAGGAAGATGTAGCTCTCCATTTCCACTGTGACATGTAAAATTTACTGTAGGTGTGGGGTTGATAAGTAATGGTACAACCCTCCTTATTCCAAGGACCTATCATCATCTCATTACCTCTTCTTTCCTTGATCGAAGGAACCATTTTTGAGATGCCAGCCACTTTGTCTACAGATGTCACTGTGGGGACATCCTACATAGCACCCTGTTTCCACCGGTCTTTTAGAAAACACTCACTCCTTAGTGAATATCGCATTGCCGGACGTTTCATTCATATTTATACAAGCACGCACTGCAAATTTCCGCTCCTCATTTTCGCTAGCCAATCAGCGCTCTGCAAATTGTTGCTCCTCAAATGCAAGTTTCGCTCCGCCCACCGAGCAGTGTATAAAGGCAGAGCACAAGCTCGCAAGTCATCAGTCATCAATTCCACATCAGTCTACAGCACACTTCGTCGCCAGCGCTCAGTCTTCGGAGGCATCGGCACTTTGCTGTGCCAGGCACGACTGCCTCGGCTGTCCAGCGGTCTCACCCAACTCACTGGGCAACTCGGCTGCCTCGATTCGCCTGACACACTGGGCAACTGGCGTAGCTACCGCCTCTCCACTCCTGTGACCACGCTCGGCAAGCAAACATTTTCCAGCAACCAAGCAACCTCCAGCAACGGCCGCACTGCGGCCAGTCAACTGACTCAGCCGCCTCAACACACCGCAACCAACATCCCTTCCTACCGGCGCGCGCCGCTCTACTTCACCGGCCAATCATCTCAGCAACCAACGGTCCTTTTCAGGACCTACAAACTGTTCCGAAGAAGTTGGTTGTCATTGAAGTAACGACAAAACAAAAACCCCACACCACCATCAACGTCATTATGTAATCTGTGCATAGAAAGCAATAGCACTCTGACTGATTTGAGACATGTGTCGCTTTGGTGATGATAATGTTGAATAAGCAATAGCTGTGTGTTATAGCATATTCCTTATATTGATTTCTTACAACTATAGAATGTAGTGATAACAAATATAATTAGATTTTTTACCTTTACTTTACAAACATACTTCACCTAAAAGAAACAAGTCACAATTTTTGTTTGTACTTCAGTGCTGTTGTGTGGTATATGTTCCTAGCCTAGTTATAGTGGTTGTGCAGTTAAAATCATGTCTATGAAACTATCAGAAGCATAAGATAGTGAGCTTGCCAGCAGTTGAGAACATCAAAATATCTGTTGAATATTTTTAGTTTCATACAGCCGATTCTAATGGAGTTTCTATTATTGCATAAATTTGAAAGAAGGGAAATAAAACTGACTGTAGTAGTAACTGAATCATGTAACTGTTATCAACTTTATATAAAATTTTATCCAACATCCTTCTCTCAGGGTTAAGTCCATACACAGATGAAGTTACTGGAGACTGTCACAGATGGTTTTTGTGTAATAGATTAAAAAAAGGTAAAGGTAAAAAAATTTTCCTATGCTTAACTAATTAAGCACTGTGCCATGAAGGCATGTAGGGGAGTTGTTCCATGTGTAGAAGATTAAATACTGATCAGAATTTTTGTATACGTCAAATGCTACAGGAAATATTGGACTACAGTGAGAGAGTACATTAGCTATTTATAGACCTCAAGGAAAAATGTGATTCAGTTAGGAGTATTCTACAATATTCTAATTAAGCTTAGGGTAAACATGAAGCTAGGGAGGCTTATAAACCTGTATTTAAATTCAACCTATAGTAAAGTCCACATAGGTAAACTTTTGTCTGAAACAAAGAGACACTTGTCACTCTAGCTTTTTAACTTTGCTTTAGAATGTGCCATTAGGAAAGTCAGAGTAAACCAGGTGGAACAAAAATAAAATGGGACATATCAGTTCCTGGCCTATGTTTATGATGTAAATCTGATAGGAGATAAATACTGTAAAGAAAAACACAGAAGCTCTAACTGATGCTAGTAAGGAGGTTGTTCTACAAGTAAACACATAGAAAACTAAGTGCATGTTGATATCTCATCACCAGAATGTAGGGCAAAATCAAAATATAAAGATGGTAAATAAATCCTTTGAAAATGTGGCAAAGTTCAAATATTTGTGAATGACAGTAACAAATTAAAATTTGATTCATGAGAAAATTAAAAGCCGTCTTAATTTGGGGTAATGCTTTTTACTATTCAGTTCAGAACATTTTTTTCTTTTCAAATACTGCCTAAAAACATAAAAATCGAAATATACAAAGCTGTGATTTTAGCTGTAGTTTTGTATGGGTCTAAAACTTGGTCTCTTATATTAAAGGAAGAACACAGACAGACAGTGCTTGAGAACATGGTGCTGAGAAGAATGCTTGTATTTAGACTCATGAGGGATGAAATAAGAGATGGTTGAAGAAATTTGC